TGACGGTCCGGAGCCGGGAACAGGGAGGGAAAGGGGCGAATAGCACCTAACCAAAATGGGGCGGCCCCGGGGCATCCGAGTGGGAACCAACCTAGCGTGTTGCAGCAACCTAACTTAGCTTGCAACACGGATGCTGCCTGTACTCTGAACAGTAATAACATCAGGAGAGTACTGGAGAACAAGCAGAGAATACCTCTCGCAAGACTCCGGGTCAAGGTGTCAGTGACCCAACAGGCAACATGACAGAGGTAAAAGTGGCGACTGTCACCCGGAGACAAGGGCACAGCAACCAACGAACCCACACAAGTTGGGTTGGAACCCGGAAGGCACATTCAATGGTCTACCAAGCCCTGACAGGGTTTTCCAGGGCCCGTAGGGTAACAACTATGGGAAGCCCAGGCAAAATGTTGCTAACTGGTTAAAACCCAAAACTAACAAGATGCAGAGGACAACACTGAAAACCCTTGCAACATGCACAATCACTGGGAGCCTAACAGAGGGCCACCAAACACTAGCAGTGGAATTATAGCCACACTAGGCAGACCCCCACCAGGCAAATGAAAATAAAAACAAAAGAAAAACCCCGCAAAAGTACACTGTCCCCAGAGGCAACAGGAACCGGTCGCCCCTTAGGTGGCAGGTCACGCAACACCTTGACGCCTTAACCAGCACAATACCAGTCCCTACCCAAGGCCAAACAAGGGCCCCAAGCCCCAGCTGGCCCCAAGGGCGAGGCAAATGCCGAGCAGCAAGAACCTCTACGGGAATGGTTCCTGAACGCCCTAGGGAAGATAACTTTGTCACGCAAGAGCAGTACTCACAGGGCGCTTAGGGAAGGAAGCCCCTAAGCGCATACAGCCCCGGTACTGATGAGGAACACCTGACCACTGCACCACACAACACACGGCAGTGAACGACACGAAAGGAAAACACCGCCTAGGCCACTGAGGCCAGAGAAGTGTCTGTCCCAATTGACATTAGCTTACAAACTGATGCTAGGCAGCCGGCATAGTGAGGTCCGTGGCTCCCCCCTCCCCCTCTCGGGGCAGGGAGGGCTGCGCGGACGATCGGCGAAGCAGTAAAGTGTGATGTTTGCTTGTTTGCTTGTTTCCTTGGGATTGTAGGGAGTTTCTACCTCTGTTCGGTTTTCTGTTTTAGCTTTTTACCATGTGGGGTTTGTTTTGTTATGCCTACCTTTCTGGGTGCCTAATCCCGGTCAATGGCAGATAAGGAAAACCCCAACCACAAGAGGGGTTTTCCAGGGCTATTACTGCCTGAAACCTCCCTGTAGGGGCCAGGTTATGGTGCTGGTCCCTGGTAGGTTTGAACTCTTTAGCTAATGTCCCAGTCTAATATAACATACATTAGCCCGATAAGCTCCAGGGAGCCGTAGGGGCTCCCCACAGAAAAGCCCACTCCCTGTAACCACAAGCCTCGTTCAGAGGGTAGAAAACTCCGGCGGGGTCCAATGGGGCCCGACACTCCCCAAGTCAGCCTCTCCGCAGCCCCGGGACCCCCACGGCAGGCCCCGGGGCTGAGCCGTCCCGCCAAAGTCCCAGCCTCACAAGAAAAAACCAGGGCAGCCAAATAAATTGTAAAGAAGGGAGCCCACTGGCAGACTCGTACAACACGGCTAGAGGAACAGACTTGAATGCCCCCTGCGCAACCCTGGAAGGGGAAATCCCCGAGACTACCTGAGTCTCAAGACCATCGAATACCCGCCCCGATCCAGAACCCACAGACGGCGCTGGATCCGAATGCAGGAAGGAAGGGAGAGGGGGGACCAGATGAAACCACAACAGAGAAAAGACAAAGGGGTGTGAATGGAAACAAAACTGAAACGACCAACACCCCCAAGCCCCATCATAACAACTAAAACGGGGCAGCCTCAGGGCTTCTGGGGAGCAAACAACCTAGCGCATTGCAACCACCTGAACCCAATGTGCAATGCCCATGCTGCCTGCACTCGCATAGTCAGCATAACACTGGGTAACCAAGTCACAAACAAGCAACAACTCGCAGGACCCCAGGTCGAAGGTGTCACGACCCAACAAGCAGCAGACGGAGGCAAAAACCGTGAGAGTCACCCTGAGACAAGGGAACAGGGCAACCCTTGAACTCGCATAAAGCGAGGGGGGGACTCAGGGGTCACATCCATCGGACCCACGCGGCCCCGTGGGGATTCCCAGGGTCTTAAGATGGAACTCACTCTCAGGGAAGCCCAGGCAGGGCACAGCTAACTGGCACCAAAGTCTACCAAACAACTTTCTAAGAACTGAAACCCCTGGGATGTGTACACTCACAGGGACCAAGCAGGGGGGCACCACTGAAAGAGAGAAGAGTATGCAGTACACAGCGGCAATAACCAATAATTCCCCCCCCCCCACCAGGCAGGCAAACAAAAAGAAAAAGAAAACCCCGCAAAAGGATGGCGTACCCAGGCGGAACAGAGGCGCCCCTTACCAGTGCAAACTTCCCCTCTACCCTAAGGCGAACAAGGGAGACAGAACACCCAAGCACACAAAGGGCGGCCGAAAACCGAATAGAAATGGTCTAGCAGAGGCAGAACCCCAAGGAAATTGTGGAAGGTAGCCCCAAGCCCCAAGAGCAGTACTTACTGGGCACCTAGGGAAGGGAGCCCTAGGCGCATGCAGCCCGAATACTGAAGAATCACTCCTGGCTCAAGCACCACCTAGGAGACAGTCACCACACATAAGGCACAGTGCTGAAACAACCACTGGAGCCAGAGCACACGACTGCTGCCTATAGCATCAGCCTCGATCAGAACTGGGGTGAGGATGGCCGGGGCAGGGGTCTAGGGCTCCCCCATCCCCCCTACCGAGGAGGGTAGAGCTGCGCAGACGGCGGCATGGCAAAGTGTGATGTCATATTTGTTTGCTCGTTTCTGTTTGGGGGAGTTCTATCCACTTGTTTGGCTTTTTGTAGCAATTTTAACCAGAATAGGGGTTTGTTTTGGGACACTTACCTTTCTGGGTGCCTAACCTGGTTGATGGCAGACATAGAATGCTTCCAACCACACGGGGGTTTCTATAGGCTATTGCTCCTCGTGCCTCTGTGAGGGGGGCCAGGTTCTGGCTCGTGGTCCCTGGTAGGCCCACAGAACTCCATACACATGAATGATGCCAAAGTCTGACATTAGTATATCAGCTTGGATGGCTTCGGGGAACCAATGGGGCTCCCCCAGAAAGGAGCCCCAAAAACCCCCCTGTCCAGAAGGCACAAGGCCTAAGCAGGGGCAAACAGCCCCAGAACTACTAGCAGGCTCCCCCCACAGCCCCAGTAACCCCCTACAGAGGCCCGAGGCAAGCCACCCTCCACACCCACCACCCTAGACGAAAGGCAGAGTCTAAGAGAAAGGCAACAAGAAAAGGCCTGCTGGTAAGGCCCAGAAGCCTCGGTGGGAGAAGCAAGCTCCATTCCTGCAACGAATAGGGCAGCCTCCAGAGCCGCCCAAGTTTCATTCCCAACTAAACCCTGCCACAACTGTAAAACCCTCAGATATTAGGGAGCCGGCAGCAAGGGGGGAAAAGAGGCAGAGGAACTACAACAGCAGGGGAAGGACCCATCGGCTCGGATTGAACCAAGGTCGAAGCGACCAACGCCTCCAAGTTCTACCTAACCAAAATGGGGCAGCCCCGGGGCATTTGAGCAGGCAACCAATCTAGTGAGTTGCAATAACCAAAACCAACCAAAGAACACAACAGCCACTTGACCCCCAAGATCTGACCGAAGAAGAAAGGGTAAATTGGAGAACGAGCCGGGAACAAGACCCGCTCGACCCCGGGTCGAAGGTGTCAGCGACCCCACAAGCAGCATGACAGAGGCAATACCGGTGAACGTCACCTTGAGACAAGGGCAACAAACAACCTGCAAACTCGCACACGATGAGATGGGACTCGGAAGATGCATCCATGGGTCTGCCAGGACCCAACAGGGTTTTCCAGGGCCTGTAGGAGGGTTTTGCCAATCCCCAAGGGGAGGCCAGGCAATGGTGCTGCAAAGCTGGTTGAGCCCTAATTGTGTCAATAAGAGGGAAAAGAGCAAAACTGGGAAGTGCACAATAATGGGGACTTAGAGGAGGGCCACCGAAAATATCGTATGTGGACTAATAGTCAGACCAGGCCGACCCCCTCCAGGCATGAAACAAAAAGAAAAGAAGAACCCGGCAAAAGCACAACAACAACAACAACAGGAGGAACAGGGAACACAACTGTCACTAGGTAGGTGTACTGCACAGCACCTTTTACCCCAACCACCAACAACACTTCCTACCCAAGGCCAAACAAAGGCCACAAAAACCCAGCTGGGCCCAACGGCAAGGTAAATGACGAGCAGCAGGAACCCCTAGAGAAGTGAAGGCCCGAAAGCCCTGGGGAAGGCAATCCTAGAACCCAAGGGTAGTACTTACAGGACGCTTAGGGAAGGCAGTCCTAAGCGCATGCAGTCCCAGTACACTACGTTACTCCTGGCCAACACGCCACAAATAGCAGGAAACACTACAAGGGCACAAAATTCTGCAGGAAACTGAGGCAAGAGCTGACAAGCATTTACCTTGTTTTCTTTTGGAGAGTTCTGTTTCTCTGTTTGGTCTTGGGTTTTTAAAATTTCCTAACATGTGGGGTTTGTTTTGAGATGCCTATCTCTCTGGGTGCCTAGCCCCCAGAGAGGGGCTAGGCACCCATGTCTGCCATGTCTGTCGATGGCAGACATGGAATACCATCAAATACAAGGTGGTTTCCAGGCCAATGCTCCCTGCGCCTCTCTGAGGGGGCCAGGTTCTGGCTCATGGTCCACAGTAGGCTGAATTGACTCTATTGACTGAAGCCCCGAATTAATATAGCGTATATCAGTTCTATAGCTCCAGATAGCCGGAAGGGCTCCCCACAGAAAATTTAATCTTGAATAAAATCTTAGCCGATTTTATGAAAATCATAGAAATTCCCTATTTTAACAAGTTTTAAAATGTTACATTAACTTACCCGATTAACTGCTGGACGTGGGAGAGAATCCGCAGAACACACGCCCAGCTGACAGTGAAGATAGAACGAGCCTAAATAGTTATACTCTGGCAGGACCTGATGAGAGAGAGAGAGAGAGAGAGAGAGAGAGAGCAGTAAAGATATTAGTGTTTACTTCACTGAGCATCACCACTCTCCATTTGCCTCAATCATTAATTTTTAATGCAAATACTGTATTATACTGAACAAACATTAATTTACTATTTAATTTGTATGAATTTATTTAGAGAATGCAACAATACAAAAAATATAAATTGAGACAAAATCTCATTTAATATCACCCCTACATTTCAATGTTTATTCCTGTTCTGGGTCATGAGTCTCAAATGATAAAGTTCCATAATAGTATATCATGCCAATTTGCCATAATCTGATATGATTCTCAAGATCATCATATTCTCTTTCCCAGTGTCATGGGGTACCTGCACCAAGAGGAGGTACCTGCGAGGAAAGTGTATGCCACAAAAAGACATCTGCCATCAGAGGTGGTACAAGCCATAAGCTGAGCACCTGCCATCAGAGGTGGTACCTGCCATAAACTGATGCACCTGCCATAAGCTGATGCACCAGCCATCAGAGGTGGTTCCTGCTATAAGAGGAGGCATCTACCATCAGAGGAGGTACCTGCCATAAGAGGAGGCCCTTGTCATAAGAGGAGGCACCTGTCATAAAAGGTGGCACCTGCCATAAGATGAGGCACCTGCCATAAGAGGAGGCACCAGCAATAAGTGGAGGCCCCTGCCATAAAAGGAGGCACCTGCCATAAAGGAGGCACTTGCCATAAAGGAGGCACCTGGCATAAGAGGAGGATCCAGCCATAAGAGGAGGTACCTGCCATAAAAGGAAGCACCTGCCATAAAGGAGGCACCTGGCATAAGAGGAGGCACCTGCCATAAGAGGAGGATCCAGTCATAAGAGGAGGCACCTGCCATAAGAGGAGGATTCAGTCATAAGAGGAGGCACCTGCCATAAGAGGAGGCACCTGCCATAAGAGGAGGATCCAGTCATAAGAGGAGGCACCTGCCATAAGAGGAGGATCCAGTCATAAGAGGAGGCACCTGCCATAAGAGGAGGATCCAGTCATAAGAGGAGGCACCTGCCATAAGAGGAGGATCCAGTCATAAGAGGAGGCACCTGCCATAAGAGGAGGCACCTGCCATAAGAGGAGGCACCTGCCATAAGAGGAGGCACCTGCCATAAGAGGAGGCACCTGCCATAAGAGGACCTGCCATAAGAGGAGGCACCTGCCATAAGTGCCATAAGAGGAGGCACCTGCCATAAGAAGAGGCACCTGCCATAAGAGGAGGCACCTGCCATAAGAGGAGGCACCTGCCATAAGAGGAGGCACCTGCCATAAGAGGAGGCACCTGCCATAAGAGGAGGAGGAGGCACCTGCCATAAGAGGAGGCACCTGAGGAGGCACCTGCCATAAGAGGAGGCACCTGCCATAAGAGGAGGCACCTGCTGAGAAAGCACCAGCCATAAGAGGAGGCCCTGCCATAAGAGGAGGAGGAGGCACCTGCCATAAGAGGAGGCCTGCCATAAGAGGAGGCACCTGCCATAAGAGCACCTGCCATAAGAGGAGGCACCTGCCATAAGAGGAGGCACCTGCCATAAGAGGAGGCACCTGCCATAAGAGGAGGCACCTGCCATAAGAGGAGCCATAAGAGGAGGCACCTGCCATAAGAGGAGGCACCTGCCATAAGAGGAGGCACCTGCCATAAGAGGAGGCAGCCATAAGAGGAGGCACCTGCCATAAGAGGAGGCACCTGCCATAAGAGGAGGCACCTGCCATAAGAGGAGGCACCTGCCATAAGAGGAGGCACCTGCCATAAGAGGAGGCACCTGCCATAAGAGGAGGCACCTGCCATAAGAGGAGGCACCTGCCATAAGAGGAGGCACCTAAGAGGAGGCCCTGCCATAAGAGGAGGCACCTGCCATAAGAGGAGGCACCTGCCATAAGAGGAGGCACCTGCCATAAGAGGAGGCACCTGCCATAAGAGGAGGCACCTGCCATAAGAGGAGGCACCTGCCATAAGAGGAGGCACCTGCCATAAGAGGAGGCACCTGCCATAAGAGGAGGCACCTAAGAGGAGGCACCTGCCATAAGAGGAGGCACCTGCCATAAGAGGAGGCACCTGCCATAAGAGGAGGCACCTGCCATAAGAGGAGGCACCTGCCATAAGAAGAGGCACCTGCCATAAGAGGAGGCACCTGCCATAAGAGGAGGCACCTGCCATAAGAGGAGGCACCTGCCATAAGAGGAGGCACCTGCCATAAGAGGAGGCACCTGCCATAAGAGGAGGCACCTGCCATAAGAGGAGGCACCTGCCATAAGAGAAGGCACCAGCCATAAGAGGAGGCACCTGCCATAAGAGGAGGCACCTGCCATAAGAGGAGGCACCTGCCATAAGAGAAGGCACCAGCCATAAGAGGAGGCACCTGCCATAAGAGGAAGGTTAATTTACATGCCAAGAAAGACAAGTAGTAAGGGAGGCATGCCCTAAGTATACATATGAATGATAGAGTATTCAAGATGATTATTAATAGGGAGTAAAATATATTAACATAAAGCAGAACATGAAACAAAGAATATAAATAGGATAAATTTTTAAGGGAAAAACCAGCGTTGAATATAATGAAACGCCATTTTCTGGGCGAGACCTGAAGGCTTCCCTGGGGCTTATCCAGGTTGATATATATGGAACTATTAGACTTTGGCGTCAGTCAGTGTGAATGGAGTCCTTAGGCCTACCAAAGACCACAAGTCAGAACCTGGCCCCCCTCAGAGAGGCACGAGGAGCAATAGCCTATAGAATTGCACATGTGATTTGGAGCATTCTATTTCTGCCATTGACTGGGTCAGGCACCCAGAAAGATAAGCATCCCAAAACAAACCCCTATTCTGGTTGAATAGGGGTTTGTTTGTTTGTCTGTCCACTCGTTTTACTAAAAGTCAAACGAGTGGACAGAACTCCCGAAAGAAAAACAAGCATGACATCACCACGTTGCCGCGGCACAGTCTATGCAGCTCCCTCCTCCCCAGGGGGGAGGAGGGGGAAGCCCCAGGCCCCTCATGCCGATACCCACACCATCAGTTCGAAAGCTGGATGTCAAAACACGCGAATAAACAGCCGACCGGAGGGAGGGGAGGGATGGCGGGGAGCCTCCAAGTCTCACCCAGCAAATGGCATTTCATTACATTCAACACTAGTTTTCTTGGGGGGAGCCCCTTTGGCTCCACGGAGCTACTTACCAAAAGACAAAAATAAGAGGGACTCACCAGGGAGTTGGCCAGCACTCGCCCCTCAACGCGAAGTCAAGACAACCAGTTGCAACCCAAAGCAACATAGGCCTGACTAGGCCCCGGAACATTGACCAGGTAGTGTGCAGCCAGGACCCTGTTCGACCGCCAAAAGCCCCACACCCGAATGTCAGCCCAAGATGGCAGCAAGAGCAGCAAACTCACGAACGTCGTGGGCATGGGGATAGACCGCAGACTAGCTAGACCAAATAACCTTGCGGATGACCTGGGAGACCTTGAACCCTGGAACAGGGAAGGGAAACCGGATCAACCCAAAGAACGTCCCCGGACACAGAATCCGTGGCGTGCAAATAAGGGTAGAGAGCTGCAACAGGTCATAACACATGATGCACCCCTGACCTGACTAACCAAGCATCAACAACCCAAGGACCCTTCTGGAAAGCAGCCGTCACATTCTTCACTAGAAAAAAATAAGACAGCAGCAAATGAAGCTCTCCGACCCGACTCCAAAGGCTAATGCCAACAGGAAAAGAGCCTTGGAGAGACAATCCCAAACCCAATGGGCCACAAACCGTGGGAAAGAGAGATAAGAGAGAACCCTGTCCAACATCCAGGATGGCTCAAGCGGCGCATGAGCAGGGCGGAGGTGAAACAACACCCGAGACAGCTTGCGAAACGATGCAGAAGTAACATCGATGTCGAAAGTAAGCTGCAGCAGCTCTGCCAGCACCGCACGATATGATCGACAGTATTCGGCACAAGATGATGGTCCTGGAACAGCCACAAGAGAAAGGACAAGACCACCTCAACAGAAAGCGAAGTATAACTACGAAGAGACAAAAAAGAAATGGAAGGATCACCAGGAAACTTCATACTACCGCCAAGACGAAGCACGCAAATGGAACACTATTAACGAAGCCACCTGATCACCATATATATATATGGTGATAGACCCGAGTCAAATATACCAGATGTGAAGACTCGAGGATTAGATCGAACCAGTCACATAACGAACCAGACCAATCATCTGAAAGAGGCAGAGCCGCGGGAAAACCCCTGGGTTAGGACACTGAGCAAGCAGGACCTAAACCAAGGCTGGGCCAGTCACCAAGGGGCCAACAAGACTACTCTCCCCCAGTAAGTCTCCAAGCAAGCTAGGACCGGGAGTAACAGCGGAACCAGAGGGAAAAGATACAGGTAACCCCACCTCGACCAGTCCTGCTGAAAAGCATTGACCCTGGTGAGCTCGCAGTCAGGAAAGAATGCCACATATACCAGGAGATGCCTCGACCACGCCAACGTGAAGAGGTCCACCCCTGCTTGATACCTGCTTGATGGGGGTTCTGGGAGTTCTTCTACTCCCCAAGCCCGGCCCGAGGCCAGGATTGACTTGTGAGAGTTTGGTCCACCAGGCTGTTGCTTTGAGCGGCCCGCAGGGCCACATACCCACCACAGCCTGGCTGATCCAGAACTTCTCTTAGAAAATAGTCCAGTTTTCTCTTGAAGATGTCCACGGTTGTTCCGGCAATATTTCATATAGTCGCTGGGAGGATGTTGAACAACCACGGACCTCTGATATTTATACAGTGCTCTCTGATTGTGCCTATGGCACCTCTGCTCTTCACTGGTTCAATCTTGCATTTTCTTCCATATCGTTGACTCTGGTACGTTGTTATTTTACTGTGTAGATTTGGGACCTGGCCCTCCAGTATTTTTCATGTGTATATTATTTGGTATGTCTCTCGTCTCCTTTCTGGAGAGTACATTTGGAGAGCTTTGAGACGATCCCAAT